AATTGACAGTTTAAATATGCTTTTTGCAGAGGGAGTGGATGAAAACCAGGCGGATAGGCTTTTGAGAAATTCTCAGATAAAATTAGGAAGTAACTTTGTAGGCACCGATTTCAGTTTACCTCATTTTGTGGGCAAAATCAAAGTTTACGTTCACAACTAACTGGGACTCACGTCAATTTAGGACAAGCTCATGTTGCAGAGACCACGCTAAAACATTCTTTGGGTCCTATTCGCCCTTATATATTGGCTATTTGACGTTCTTTATACTCATTAATCACTTGATCAGGATTCACGGTGGAAATTTGAAGATCTATTAATAACGAAAGAGCTTATGCCAGAATTTTATCTGAGTGTGCAAATTTTAATTCAAACCAAGGCAATTTATTCATCAATCGGGTTGCTGAAAGGCGAGTTTAGACCAAACTAACTCCAGATATGGAGTGTCCAATGCTCAAAAATAAATATCACAGCTTTAATATTCCGACTCATACCAAAAAGTCCTATTTTTAAAAAAGCATGGTCATTTAGTTTTTTAAAAAAAAGACTCGTTTAGGCATAAGTTATGCCGACATTTTAAATGGAATGGTGGTTATAAATTAATCCAGTTAACATTGACTCCGGGAAGACTTCGTTTTGTAGTATTTTCCTTTATATGATGTAGTTGCCAACACCAATGCTATAGTAAAAATGTTTTCCTTTCTGCTTTTGCATTAAAAAGTAGTTTATACTTTTCAATGCATTTTCTTGAGGCGGGTACAGAAAACAAATTATTTTGGTATGTGGCACTTTAGGTACAATCTGGAGGGACACTTAATGGACTAAGTTATAGATGCGGTGAATTTTATGCTACTTTTATGATTTCCTGAGCTAATTAATCTATTAAATGCCTACGGTTAAGAAAAGGTTTTGTTGTGTGTGACAAACTAACTTATCTAACACTTTTATACATGTGTGTTTATCTACAGATCGTGAGGCATTAAAACTCTTCAGTCACTTAAGTCTCACAATGAAAACAATTTATCATAAATTCACAAGCATATGGGTTGGGCTTTTTAGATTTTCACTCCTATGAAAAACTTCTGGGACGAAAAGGACGTTTTGATCATAAACCAGACAGGCGTGAAGCGTGCTAATACATGGAGGAATTTACAATAATTTGTTATTTTACTAAAGATGTTAACATATTTTAATTTTTAAAAGCACAACTATTGGGCCACTTCTCGATAAAATTTTATTAAATCCTAGTAAAGCTGTTACGAATCCTCTTCAAATCTAGCTAAAATCAAGTTTAATGTGTTGGTTGATTTTAACTTAACCAAACGAATGTTCAGGTTCTAAGTATCAGTGGCGGAGGCTTTCATTTATCTCATCATTTTTACAGCTCGCATCACATATTTTTAGCGTTTGAGAAGCGAAATGATAGTGCCAGCATCTCTCGGCTTTAAGTTGATGGTTCTGTGACAATGTGATGATTGACTGCTTTTATTGATGACATTTTCGCATTTAAAATTTGGAGAATTGTCGCGTTTTTTATTTAAAAAATGATAGGAAACCGAGCTTTTACTTCCTTTGGCTAAATTTACTGCTTTGTGTTTATTTGCACCCAATTTTTAAAGAAATAAAAGGGTAAGGTTAAAGACCAATTTTAAATAAACTTTACCAAGGCTTTAAAATTTTTTAAATTCTACTGCCTAAATATGGGTCGTCTACTTTTAGAACTGCTAAGAAGTTCGTTTAATTAAATCCTATTAGAGCTGCTTAAATGGAATAAATCGACGTCCATAAGTGGGCGTCCTTATGAGATAAGAGAAAGGTTGGAGAATCAGCATACCGCGAGGGAACCAATACGTAGGAAAATGAGAAACCTCTCTCAACATTATGCAAAAACAAATACTTTTGTGCGAGAGTAAGGTAGTTTCTTTGGAATCCACCTAGCAGTTTTTGGAAGTTGCTTCATTACATATGTATACATGTGGGATTGGTTTTGCTAGTCCTCCTCCAGCTCTGAGTGGTAGAAAATTTTGCCTCACTTTGTACTATTACGCTACACGAAGTGATTTACCTATAAACAAAGTAACGTGCTGACAAGCTCTTTAAGGAGCCATAAAATTTGTGGCGAACTCGCAATTAGGTCGTTAGTCTGAAGAGCAAGTGAAAGAGTAGAAATAGATTTAGTCGATATCGGCAACGAAATGATATTTGATCACATCACAAAACACGAGGTGCTGAATTAACAGGAGAAGTACTGAAAATCTGATGATGATTGACTGCTTTAAACAAGCTCTTTTTCCGAAATTCCTGTCCAAAAGTTATTTAACCTTATACTTTGCATTAATTTTCCCACACCTGCATATGAAGGCGGCATGCTCCGTTTGTGACCTTTACATGTGACAGTGTGAATCACATGCAGATTGTGCTATTCCGCACAAATAAACATCAGTGGAATGTATGCAGGGGCTCCACAGACTCAGTGAAATAGTAAAAATTCACCAAGAAAAGTGGCTTTTAGTGAAACTCATGGTTCATATTCCTCATGCCACTACTCTGAAGAGCAAGTACATACCCAAATTTTTTGCATTTTGAGGAGATATTATAACAGTAAATTTGCGCAATAACTGCATTAGCTTGAAGAAACAACGACTACTTTCCCAACTCCTCAATACACTATATATTTCGGCATTTTGCATCCTAAAGGGACCTACTTTACGAAATTAGCTCTCACAATATTTTTTTTTGAAAATAAGGACATTAACAATTATTTTGTATTATTACTAGAATTTAATGGATATAAATAGACCCCTAAACACTTCATTAAGTCGGGTCAATCATTTAAAATTAATTTACTTAAAGTCAATTTAATTCGAAAAATTTACCGAGTTGACATCTGAGCAGAGCACAAAAGGAAAGATTAATTTGTTCCTTCTCCTCTTAAAAAAATCGCGCTTTTTTCGCTTTTCTCAAAATAAACATCATTACTGCGGGTAACTTTTTCTTTCTCATTTCTCTTTTCTTTCTCGTATTGCACAAGAAATTTAGTCAAAATGAGTAATTTAATTTTATTCTCCTTTCATTTTTGAGTTCAGTGTGGATGCGAATAAGCACCGTGGGATTACATGGCTCTGTAATCTCATGGATTTCATGAACAGAAACCACCAAACACAATTGAGTTGGACTCAAAGCATAAAATTATTCGTCAAAACCACTTGCAAATAATGATATTAATTTAATTTGTCAAAAGAAATTTTTTATTAAATTACTGTTAATGTTTTCTAAAGACTCCCTAATCTTAACCATTACAGGTGGAGGTGGAATAAACACCTATTTTCAGTGATATCTGATTGTAATTAGTTCTTTTTAGCTTTCGTGATGAAGCAATTTTAAAATTCAAAAGAACCATTTCATTTGTGGAGTGATGAATGATATTTCGCGTGATTAGTTTACTACTTGGTTGTTTCATCAGTAGAAGTATTTTTAGGCTGTCTAACTGCATATTTGTCTTGTATAAAGGTATTATTCCTAATTACTGGCCAAAAATAGAAGATAACGACCATTTTTCTCGGTTTTATCCTGTGAGAGCATTACAGCCTGAATCCAAACTGGTTGAAACACGAATAAATACTAAAATGGTGAACAGTGGCATAAAATCTATTATCTGAGCTCATTGTAATTTATACCTGTTGCTGTTTAAGCCAGCAATATTATTTTCAGCCATCATTTAGATTAGTTTCTGTGTATTCCAAGACTTTTTTGTATATTGCAATAGTTAAACAAAAATTATGACCTTATTGTATAAAATGTATCAAACAACATCCAAAATTTACGCATAAATATGTTTACTTGGTAGCGAATAGATAATTCTTGTATTAGCAGCATGAATACAGAGCTGATATTCTTAGTCTCTCTAAATTTGGCAAATGTGGGCGATATTTCATACGTTTTAAGTGCGACAGACACATAATTACGCGTGGATTGTTCCTAAACATGGTACAATATTATACAGTCCACAATGCCCTTCCTAAAGCGGCAATAAGGCAATTCCGTATTTATGAAGATCAATTGGCGACTTTCAAAGTGGCTAAGGCAACGTTAGCATGGACGATATATCCTGGCACCAAGATGGAAACAGAGCCAGCAGAGATCAAAGTGTTCCTGTAGTTAAAGATACATTTGACCAAATGTGCTCTACCTACGCATCGTCTTCTTTTTACCCTCAACTCTGAAGCTTTTCCTAATCAATCTTGTGCACTAATTCACATACAATTGATGAAGTTGATTTACAACATGGGGAGGACGCCAAATGTTTTGTTCTAACTGAACTATTGTTACGCTTAAAAGACCCTTCTTTGAAAGTCATTTTCATGTTGCTTTTATAGGTGCTTCAAATTCCAGACTCCTTTGAAGACTCTACAAAGGCCTTTTTGATAGGTCTTCTTCAGACCAACATCGAGGTTCGCCTTGGGTGTCAGGGACAGGGGTGAGTTAATCAGCTATAGTTTTTGGTCATTATGCAACTTAATGCATCATAAAGTAGATTAACAAATTTATATTTCTCTATTTTTATATTTATTGTACCGTCAACCCCAAAGTATAAATTGTTTTTGGTCAACTTGCTAAATGCATTTAATTTAAAAGGCATATTATTTAGTGCAGGGGTACTTTAAACAACGGGGTTCACTGATATTCAGGAAGGCTAGATGGGTATTTTGTGGGAATTTCAAAAATCAAGCAACTTATTAATATTAACATTTTAACCTTTTAATAAATTACTTATTTCTTGAGATAAAAAGTGCCTCCCAGTTCCATAAAGCTATCGAAAATATCAAAAATTGGACTCATATTTATCTCTTTGTAGACTACGATTAAGTAACGATTTTATTTTTTTTACTATATTGAGGCAATTTTAGGCACATCAGAAGGGTTTTCTGAATATTTATAACAAAACAAGGTTAGTCTTGGTGATCTGGCGTTGTATATAGATGCGGCATTTTCACTAGTTTGACTCTTTTCCACTTCCGCTTTCATATCCTTGGATTAAGAATATTTATCAGAAGACATGCTATTTGGTGGTAATGTGGGGTTTTTAAAATACTCACAGTTTTGCAGGAGGATTCAGACTTGTCTCCCACCCAGCGATAAATGATACTTTTTCGGTTAGGAGGATTATATAGTCGACTCGCTTACCACTTACAAGGTGTATCTCAAGCAGAAGAGGATCACATGTAGTTTTTTGAAGATGGAATTTACCTTCGGTTTTTCATTCGCATTTTTTGATCGTTGCACCCCCTTCGTCTGACAAAGTTTAGGAAATAAAACTCCAAAGTTTCAGTTTTGATTATTGACAATACGCTAGTAGGATAAATTTCCAAAGCAACTTTATTACCTAAAGCTTGTATTGTTCGATAACGAAGCGCAATTGTTTATGGATGTTGTATGAACAGTATAGCTATTTTCTTGAAAATTTGTATTCAACAATTAAAATATGTCCGAAACTTCACTTTTCGACAATTTTTTAGTAGATGGTAAGCATATTTCATTAAATAAAAATTTTGCTAACATGTTGAATGTCAATTGAGGGAAGGCAAATCCAAAAAAAAGAAATTGTGTAAAAATACCCCATATTGTCAACAGAGGTAAAGTGGTAAGCGACTTTAACGTGAAAACAATCCTTGCACACAGAGGATCTAGTTTGGCTTATTGCTGAGTTTCCCTAAAGTGGAAAACATTGATTTCAAAAGCCATTTCCGGCACATAAAACCGCTACACAGAAATAACAGCTTCCATTCATTCTTCAGCCAAATAAGGTCATTTCCAAGGAACTGACACGAAAAAAATTATGTCTGAATTCTAGATGTTCTGGGTGGCAGAATGCACCACCCAGAACTGATTAATTTGAATAAATTTAGGTTATCGCTAAAACGGAGATACATAATCTCATGGATAAAGACTTTTTTCGCCATAATAGTAAAGAATTTCCGGAATGTTTGGGCTGAATTTTAAAACTTCATCAGCTAAATATTCATAAAAGTTAAACCATTGGATTCCGTCAACACCGTTTAACAGATTATAATAAGGTCAAAAATATCACCAATTTCTTTAATTCCTTACATCATTAGCACGCATTTGAGATTGCTAGCTGACTGACAACTGCAATGAATAAATGAGATGAGAATTGGCATCTGCATCTCACCGTCAAGAAAATAAACACTCGGTTGATTGTCTCCAAGCCATCTACCACTCGGCTACGCATCCCCTACTCTTAGGGCATGCACATCTTCATCCTACAAGACTGCTTCGAAGAAATCTGTGTGTGGTAGACTGCGGACGGATATGTTCATTTACTAAGATCTATTTGGTGATCTTCCTAAAGATGCAGAGGAAAAACCGCATCTTTTTGAGAAAAAGCCAAGACCATAGAACCAGCTTCCAAACATTACTGTTAGAGGGCCTGTACTTTGGTAGGATAAGAGGGGGACAAGAAACAAATGTACTTCCTCATCTTTACACTCCCCTGACTATATTTATTCACCTTCGTTTAGCACGCAGAATAGCGTAGACAGTTCGTAAATACAAGTGAGGCAGAAACAATGGTGGCTACGGCTGTATAGTTTGTCTCTAAAATTGAAATGTTTCAAAAGGGGCACGATATACAGAAATTTTGTGTATCATTGGGAAGGGACTCTTTTGTTGGTTGTAATTGTAATTATTTTAGCAAATAGGATATTTTGGGAAGCCTTCTAAATTTTCTAAATTATTATCACAAGAACGACATTATACACTTGGTTGCTTTATACAAAGGGAGAACCATGACGTAATACTAATCTCCTTTACCATTTGAAGGAAACTATGGCATTTTCGATTACCTAACATGACCATCACTGGTTACTTTTTCTCTGGATTTTCTCTCTGCTCGACTTGATGAAAGCTCCTGTTTCATAAGTAATCTCTTATTCGAGTAATTGCTGGTTTCTTTTGTTCTTTAAGGGGATAACAGAGAAAATCATTTGTTCTTGCAAATCTACTACCTGAACTTTACTAGAATCGTCTTAACTTCACACTCACTATCCCCAGATTTTAGCCATGCCTTTATCTTAAGTTCGAGAAAACAGTGTCAAAACAAATCAGAAGCCGGCAGCGCATGAATGCACATTTGTCATTTGATTTTAATAGCATCCATCGTGCAAATAAACGTCTGAATTCATAAATCTGAAAACTAAACTTCAAACGCTGGGGATTAGACGTGTTATCACCTATTTGATCATCCTTTAGAGATTTACCTCGGTTTATAACACAACAAACATTTCCTTATTTTGGGTAGTTTGCGTTTGGAATAATAATGGCCTATTTTTCCCTGAAAAGGAATTGAGCCAAATAGTACTTCTTAGAAATCACGTCTATGTGCGTGAAATCTGGTGTCAGCGTAGGAACGTAGTTGTGAGGCAACAAGTCTACCATAATTCCTTTCATTTTTGACAGTTCAGAGGAACTGATGACGCATTCCTTCCTCTCAAATATGGACTGGGAGATGGCAAAGCGTCAGCGACTCCAACCACCGTTAATTCCTCCCCAGGGTGAGGTGAACGCTGCTGACGCCTTTGAAATTGGCGCTTTTGATGAAGAGGACACGCAGGGTATTCGAGTGAGTTTCAGAATCTCCCATTATTACCACCTATCAATTATAAGTTTGAATGCATTTTTTTACCGGAAATGTCTTACAGACTAGGCATTATTACTTATGTATCTAGAAGCATTTAACGTCTAACATTCGCAAGTACCAAATGTAATTGTTCATAATGTGCAATAATTCAGGGCTTAAATGTCTATTCAACTCTGTTAAAAATGCGTATTTTTGGGGAAAAAGGTTTTTAATTTTGATTGTAATCGCTCTTTGAAATCAGAACTGCAACATAAGTAAATAACAGTACCAAAAACCTACCTCGCTAGTGAGGCTACGACAAGTAAGTAAACTGACAGATATGGTGATAATTTGAGACTTGACTGAAACATCGTTATTTGACTTTGGGTTATCCGGTGTGTAAAAGAAGTAGTAAAAGGTTCTGTGTCCTTGAATCTCTCTTTACTTTTACAAGATGTAGGCATCCCATACTGATGCACTTCAGATTTTTTTTATGTAAAGGGCATTTGTTTATTGTGGAGATTTTTTGAGGGTCTTTCATTGATTTGACTTTTTAACTCTCAAAGTAAACTCAGTTATAACGTAACGTTATCCATTATCAAATTCATTTTTAGGTTTAAAGGAGCTGATTTGAAGTCAATCAATGCATGCCTCTCATTCCTTACTATGATTTTACGATCTTCACAACTTGCTCATACCGACTGACGTTCAAGAAATTTTGTACTCCTTAAGTTGAATCAGATGCTCTCTAAAACTTGTCATCAACAATGGAATACCTTTGAATAGAGAATTTTGTAGCCAAATTGACAGTAAAGTTTGTTTTAAGTTGAACTTAATTTGCAGCTGTCGTGAAAACTTTGAGTGCTACTTCCTCCTTAATTAATCACATATCCCGCCACCATATCCGAGTTCCCAGGTGTCAATGGGCTAGACTCCTTACACAATAGTGCATTATTTTCTTCATCCAATTTTGCACATAAAATCAGACATTAAATAAATTAGTATGCAACTTAATCGAAATATCAATGAGAAACTAACATTGACTTTACGAATACAATATTTTATTGGTTTTTTAAATTTTTATCTTGTCATTTTGCTAAAATAACTTCTTCATTACTTAGTAATGGTGGTATTGGTAGTGGTATTGGTGGAATCCTGCTGCTTCCAATTCACACGAAGTGACAGCACCTATCACACCTCCAATTGCTTTCACGTCAGCCCTTTCCATTGTGTTTGACTCAGCACATCTCTTTTATGTTGCATCTGGTATCACGACATATCCATCTTTTTAGGAAATCGCCAGCAAAATAAACCTATAGTTCAACAAAATTAGTTAACGCATTCTTTTATTGTTCCACAATGGAATAGGGTTCCAAGAATCAAAATGTGGCATAACTAACGAAAATTTAAGATTTTGTGATCTGTTTTTAGAACAAGTGCATTCAGCTTTCCACGTTCATAAAATGTGGTAGAAATAGGTGTGTGTGCTAGAAACCTCAGAAATTAACCACATTTCTGGCATTTAAACAGCTAAAGTATTAGTCTAAATTAGTGGTACTGATGTGGACTATTCCGCTGTCTTGAAAATGCTTTCTGTCGTTTTAGGTAATAAAGCTCGAAAAACGAGCCATCTCATTGCCTTTCTCTGGAAGATGAAGATTAATTAGCCTGTTAATTATCCTTCAGTCTCACAAGCTGAGGCTTAGCAAAGTTGTAAATCACCACTTTTTACTTTTAAGAGATATCTGAATGTAAAGTGATTGAGCTGTTCCGGATGACCAATGAATATTAGGCCTGAAGCCCTGATGATTTGTCCACATTTGAGAGGGAAAATTCTGAAAAACTGTATTCCAGAACAAGGTTAAATATTATTAAAGTTACCATAAGAAATGGGAATGGTGTCTCGATGCTCCTGATTTTATGCTAGATTTTATAAAATGCAGTTTATCTGTATGTCCCGACCAAGACCGCAAATATGATACTTTATAATCATACTTTTTAAAGTCGTTTGCAGGGAGACGCTTGGATTTCCATTCCCTAGTTGTAGCACTATTAGTCCCCAAGAATGAATGGAAATCCTCCCTGTATAGAACCCAGAGGCGGTCAAAATGAGCAATGATAACGTGTTTATTTTTCCTATAAAAGCTGTTTCCATATTTTGATCGTGGTCTCATCTGCCTTAAAATGGCATGTTTTTCCCTTTTCCCCATTTAACAAGATTACTGACAACAACTAAAGCTATCTGCCGAATAATGGTTGGTTTAATTATCTGTGAATGCGCAACAAATGTTAGTATTTAAGAAACGGCTGCTAAATGAATCTATTGAGAATATTACACGCTTCTCCATCCATCATTATGCGTCCTAGTATCATATTTTGAAAACCTACTTAAAAGTCCATTGGATGGTAGCAAATTAAAATTACTGGAGAATTTCAAAAGAATACAGGTATTTATTAGTTTTCTTTCTAAGTGGCCAGTGAGAGTTTTAAACATGTAAGATCGGGATAGCTTCATCCTCAATTTAAATTGATTAAGACGAAAAAAGCCGGTGATAAATATTTCCAAAGTAGAAGTTGCCTTGATAACTGTGGAAAATCTTTTCAACTTGTAATTTGTGCTGCCTTAATTACTCAACAGCAACAGAAATGAAGACCTTGGACAGTGTACCTCTAATCACTTTCAAACGTCTTTTTGTTAATCTCCGCAAAACTTCATGTGTATACCCTCCTTATGTATGCATGTCATTCTAAGCACCCTTGAGCAAGACGCAAAAATTTGGTTGACTCGTAATAAATGTAGACCTGAATTCTTTACAATGATAGTAACCCATTTTTACGCCAAAAGAGGTATTTTAATGAATTTGGCCTCAATAAATTTAATAAAGAATTTTGTTGGAAATAGGATATAGCCTAAATTTGAGAGAATTAGTGATGTAAAGTGGGACCTTACTGACCTCTTAGCGTTCCTACTTTCTGCAAAATATAGGGAGCCATTAAAATATGAAATTCTCCTGTTTGCACATTTTTATTTAGTTTTAATACAAATATAAGATCCAGTCCTACACAACCACGATGAAGTAGAAAAATACGTCACAAATAGCAGGCATTTAAAATGAATTTGGAGGCTTTACCGTCCATAGTACAGAAGAGAGTCATAAATAACACGGATTTCAAGACTCTCACCCTTTTCAGACTTGTAAAATTTACCTGATTGCCGTTTAAAATTTACCCCTTCCGAAGCTAAGCTAAAATTTAGGCGCAAAGCCCTGCTTAATGGGCATAACTTTGCTTCCCATTTATTAGGGGGACAGCGTGGTTTTAACTCCATTAACTTTACACACTCCTCGAGATTCATAAAATCAAAAGTTACTTAATAGCCCTATATTTAACTATTAGTACCATTTTTAGACATTTTGTAATTACAAATCATATTTGAGAGTGAAATACTTTCCCAAACAGCCTTAGTCGGTAGAAGTTTAAATTAATTTACCAAATAACATTTGGCGCTACAAAATTAGGGATTTTAAATTTCTACGCATCACCAGTTCTATTATGAAGAGGTTCTACTGTTACCTCCTCAGAGTTAACCCACTTCATTGCGTATTCACAAAAAGATCATTGGACAGGACTTCTCATGGCTCCCCTTCTAAAAACGTACATATAATGGAAATTGTCGCACAATAAATTTGATTCAAACACCTGATTGCAGCACAGGTCTTGGACAAAATACCCAAGGAATGCATAAGAATTTGATAATTTTGTTTTATGGATCTTTTCTGTTCACATATAAATGACCAAAATAGAGGCAGATTCTCAAATTAAATGTGCTTACATGTTGTAAAATTCAGGAAGTTGTATAGCATTGCAGATATACTGTAATAAATCACCCGATTTCTGCGCACTCATAGTAAAAGTGTCCTAGATTCCTGCAAAATCTACAGTGCAGTTTAGCTGCAGAGGCATTAGAAGTTAAAACACGTTGCAAACCCAATTTACAGGTCTTTTTTACACTATCTCAAGGGAACAGCTTTAGCTTTTTGTCAAAAGTGTAAAGGTAGATCATTTTAAAGTGAATCAGTCACTTTGAAGACCAGTTTTAATCTCTAACTTTAACGTGCATTAGCGGTAATTGATGTTGAAGCTGCTCACCCCAGATATAACACCCAAATTCTTCATCAGCACATAAAGTTAAGTCATTTCCCAATCAAACTGTCCTTTTTATTATATTCTTGCTTTTTATGGAAATCCAGCATTCACCCAAAAGCAAACGACTTAAATGAAGTGTTACTAATGCTGTACTAAATTTTGGAAAAGTTATTTTAAAAAAATCCGTTTTACTTTTTATCAGAAAACGAAATTCAACTGTTTGTTAGGAGACGAAATATGCATTTGATGTAGAAATCTGTTTTGGGTAGTCAAGCGCAGTGCAGACAACTGGTAGCTAGGATGTAGTCACGCATTTAGTAATATCAAGCGTCACCTTTTTTGGCGTTTCATTGTAGACGGTTCTGAACTCATGAGATAAAAAAGGGAGGTTCATTAATCAAAGGCAAATTATTATCATCAACCACAGCCTGGCCCATCTAAAGGTTTACTGAACTGTAATGCCTTCAAACCTCTAAACAGAGTAAGTGGTATCAGGAACTGAAGAACATTTACATATCAAGCTAAATTCTTATTTAATGGATGATTACAAAAATAAACGTGTCCGTTTTTGCGTGGAGCCTACTTTAACGGATTTTGTGCCTTAACAAATAATCAGCAAGTGACAGAAGAAGCAAGAACAGTTAGCCTTTTTTCATATCCCTACACAAAGTGTCTGAAAGTTCCTTTAAAGTATAAATAGAGATGTTTGAGGAGTGAATTGGTTGTACAAAACCCTTTACAAAGTTTTTGCCTCAAAGTAATTACACAACCTAAACACTTTCTTAACACATGTATTTGAAGGGATTTCTTCAAGCTACATGCTTAATAGATGTCGGAGCCATTCTTTTAAACAATAAAATCTATAAAAAACTAATAAAACATTTATCCTAAACTTCCTCTACATTCCATTCCTGAGATATTTTTTATAGAAATGTAAACTTTGAGTTTTTGAAAATGAGTCACAAAAAGCATGGCTCTCATTTAGAACAGAAACTAAGTTAAAAAATTAATGTCTTTACAAATACCTGATACTCCGAACACGGCACAAATACCTTACCTTTGTAAAATTTCATTCGATAGTTGACAGAGGAGGACCAGCAAGTCTATAAAGAATTTGACGTGGTGATAGCAGACCGGTGGCAACATGAAATGACCACCACCATCTTCGATGCGGTAAACGAGGACTTTGACCAGATGGAAAGTAAAAGGCGCGCTAAGTTACAGCAGCGCCTAAATCAACTAACCCAGACTCTTACATCCCAACCTGAAGGCGAGACTACTTCAACTCTTACTGCCACGCCTTCAGCATTGCCACAGTCACCCTTGTCGAGGTCGGCGTCGTCAACGGTGATGGCGACGTCGCAGCAGAAGTCCTTGGACCACGAGGACATTCCAAGTTGGCCTGCTGAACTGCTTCTCGAGTGGTGGATCGATCCGGAGAGGTATGGCTGTGGGCCCTCAGATTGCCTGGTGGAGAGTGAACTGCTACGACTTGGTGGACCCTTCCTTCACACATGGCAGAAGAAACATGTTCGTCTCTTCCCTAATCGACTCGAAATTTACACCAAAAATCAGCACGGTATACCGCTCAAGGGTGCCGAGGTGAGTGAGCATGTGACTGGCTTACTCATAAGGTAATTTAGTTGCATTTTTAAGCAAAGAGAATCTGATGTCAAGAAAGTGATCATTTCGTCAGACAAAGCCACTAGATCTGCGGCGTTCTCTTCCCCTCTTTTTTAAGTTTGCAGGTTAACTTCTGCTGTGCCTAGCATTTTTATTTATGGGATAAATCACAATGTCAAGTTCAACTTTGGGTTTTTGGGGAATTATATGCCATGCCATTTCTTCAATGAATGCATATCGTTTTTTTATCAACGCGTTGAGTTGTTCTTTTTAAGGCTCTCAGTTTTAAAAATTAATTGCGCTGATGATTTGAGATCAATTTGAACTGTTGAGTGACAGTCGATGCATTCCAAGTTATGAAGGAAGGCAGCCGGACTTGACTAAACTCACTAAATAGCTAATGGGTTTGGTAGAATTCCAGCTTTTCTTTGACTCTTGTACCATGAACGCGACAAGTATCCTACAATCCTGGCATGGTTTTCTCCTTCCTATGGATATTTTGCGGGTCATCAACTATTTTTAATTTAATTGTTAAACTAGTGTGAGCAAAGCCCCAAGGTTTATAAAAAAATTAGAATTCTTGAACGCCCGAATAAGTATACTGTAGAGTTTCACGTTCCTATTAATTAATCTGCATTAACGGCGAATACTCAAGCTAAATAATGAAATGGGATACATGAGCTTGGCGCCACAAATATACCACTTGCTTGAAATGGCTACTGCACGCAGAGAATCGTGCCTCGACCGGGCTAGTCGAGTTGAGGAATATAAAGCCGATGAGGGCTGTTTTCAGTCTAAGATGAGCAGTTACATGGGCGAAAATGGATTCAAATTGGTTCGATGTTGGAACGGCACAAGGTCTGAGTCTTGATGACGTATCTCCTTGTGAGACTTTTGTAGCAAGCGTTTCTATCATTTAAGCAGAGAATGCATTATATTCGTTAAGGGTGATCATTCCACACTCCCTTTATTTGAAGCACTTTAAAGTCACAAAGCTAATTCGGCCTGGAAGGCACTTTCTCAGCGTTAGACTACCTCTTAATACCAATACCTTTAGTATGTTGGAGCGCATGTCTAGGTTTTATATTACTGCTGATGAGAAGGAAAGTACTCTTTTACACTCCCCGTAATCGTAAAGATAATTTTTGGCAATTTGTTTCTTTTCCTCAGAACAATTCTGCCCGTATTTTGCTGACAACTATCCCAGTCCGTTAAAAAGGGAAGTCCTTCAGATACTGCAAGTTCGTGATGCCTACTAAATTTTGACAGAGATGTCACCAGATTTCTGGTGAAGGAAAATATTGCTCAGAAATAGGAATTTGGTATTTGTCTACCTACGCACTGATATTATCATTTCTCTGTCGATGCGATATGCACAAATCAGCTCTAGGTCCACTTTTGATGAGTAGGAATTCTTTTAAAATTCGTTTTTTTTCTTTGACGAGAAACTCCGCTTAAAAATTGTGCATGATCCTGACCTTGACAATTTAACCAAATAGCAGTCTAAAATTTTTCTCTTGTCTCATTAATCACTGCTGAGAGTTTGTTAAAGTATAACAAAATCTACCTATTCTCTCACTGTCTTTTGTCAAAAAAAGATAACACCTACCTATCAAAACTAATAGCAACACTTTTGTGCATTCCAATTTTCCAAGACTTGACGATTTAACCAGTTAAACAAGGAAATTGTTCGGCTGTCTTATCTGTAAGCTTAAATTGGTAGTGACATTCAAATCAAGTGAAGAGTTGACGACTTACACATAGGCAAGATTTTAAGAAGGCGGCATTAAAAATGAATCGCTTTATATCACAAATTATTCATCACTATTTTGAAGTGAAGCACACGGAGATAAGCTGCTTCATTTTAGCAGTAAACACGAGGAGATGAATTTCATCTCCATAATAAATACTAAACAGACACCAAATCAGCTCCTACATTAAAGCTAAGTTACTTTTATTCCCTCAGTCAAGCAGATGTAGGCCCCGCTTTGATACTTTCTTCTATTTTGACATTGGAATTCAAAGTGCTTCAAAAAGCGTATATTTTTTTATAAAAAGGTGGCAATTTCTTCGGCGCAATTGAATTAAAAAGGAGAAAAACTGTGACGAACTTCTTCATTTTTGAGTTATAAACTATTACTAAAAAGCAATGAAGTAAGTGATACTTTTATTAAGTCAAGGCAGCAGTGTTATACAAGTGATTTGTTGCATTAATTAGTACCAGTTTGTCGAGATCTCCAATGTTATATTTTAGTTTATTTCAATGCTGGATATCGCGTCAATTTACCCGACTCTTCAACACGTAAACAAATACGACGGAGTAATCATAGTGGTTCTCAAAAGTCAATCAAAGATATTTCTCACCTCTCAGGTAAGGAAGCCGATTTAATCTCTTTAATGTGTCCTTTAATGGCAGCGTTTTATGAATCTGCTTCATAGTTGCCGTTAACACTACTTTAATGGTTTAGAAATTTCAGATGTTCCATCAACGAAAGATGAATTAATAAGGGGTATGGCCATGCATCTTGGATATAAAATAAAAACACTACTTATAGTGCGGCCAAATTTTGTTCACTTAGCCTTCCTGTTTTTTTTTTTTAATTTTAAAATACACTGTATTGGCATTTATTCTACAATTTGAGGTATCAGAATATTTTAAAATTGCTTTCTTATGGTAACACATCTATAACTTGTGATTTTCCAGCGCGACGAGTTACAGATGTATTGGGAGACATAAAAATTCGTGCAGTTTTGTCACCTTAATGTTCTCAAATATATTATTGGAATTCGTTCTAATGATTACTTATTTTATAAATGAAAAAAAATCACGAATTGGACAGATCGAATTGAATGCATTTCAGCAAAATGCAACCACCAATCAGGCTACTCTTTAAATGGCAGAAAACATGCAAAATAATAAGCAAAAGCTGACATTGTTGCTTTTTCTGAAAAGGTAAAAGTAGCCTTAAATAATGACCACGCTATTTTATTTGATGAAGATTAACGCAATTTAAATTATGCTCAATTTGTCCACAAATGATCGCTAGTGGAGACTCTTAACTTAAATTGTAACCGCGACGCTAAAAAAGTTACATTCACATAAGTTTTAGTGATCGACAGCGCATGTCCTTTTTGCTAGGATTACAATTATTTACACAATACGGTCCGGGTAATAGCAGTGCATAGGAAACCTTGTAGCAAATATAAATATTTTGGCCTGTTTATGGTGTTTAAAAATAAAGTAAAATCTTTCTTTGCTAGCCTTCGTATGCATCCATTTCAGGGTTAGGTCTAGATGTAGAAACTTACGGGGGGTTATTGGGAACTACCTTAGGCTGGTCAAGCCTGGTAAAGAGACTTCGAGAAAATAATCCTTTGAATGATCCCTTCATCGCACCAATAGTGGTAAATTTTGCTGAAATCAGTATTTATCAGCTACTTTAAAAAACTAGTTTAGAACGTTGTTTATTAAAATTTTACCTCTAGGGTGTCACGACAGCGATTTTTCAAGCATCACCTGAATTTTTTGAGCTAAATCACTTTAACTAAGACAATGAAGTCCAATTTTTTTTCGCTGATTTGTTCCATTTCAAGATTGTATAACTAAATATACATGCCAAGTTACCTAAAGTGATAAAAATCATTATTTTACCTTGAAATAATAAATTTTTTAAGAGAATCTATGTTTGGGTATGTTAAGAAAAAAATCAGTGATAAATGTCTTCCTTATCAACAGTTAAAAATGTTGTCCTAACTGGTGCGTCAGCGTTAGCAGAGTAAGTTTTGGCAAATCTCTCCCCCATTTCAAAATACATACCATGGGAAGTTCTCTAAAAAAATTCTATTATAAAATTACATATATTTTACTTTCGGCCAGAAACACTAACTAGTTGGTGCTTAAAATCAAAGCACCATTTGATCAGCTTGGCTTTAACTGGTATTTATCCTAACAAAATGGCTTCCAGTTTTCCTGAATAGCAGTGTGCTATTGTGCTGTAGCCTATATCTTAGCAAAATAAGTAGGCAGTCCGAAATATTTCCAATAAAATTCCAAATTACTATTTTCAATATTTTATAAATTTAAAATTCAGAGATTTCCAGGTTGTGCCTCTAATATTTTCCAAAAAAATTTTGCCAAAAATTGGTATTTTCCCCAGTTTGTAACTGTTGACAACCCCAAATGTTGCCATGGCTGTTGCCTGTCCATGTCAAGGAATGTCGCTGAGTCACTTCCCACTGTTTATCTTATAGGCCAAACAATTGTACACCTCAACATTTGTGAGGTAAATTTGCATTTAAAGTCTCGAAATCTTGGCTTTTAATGGTTTTAAAATAATGTCTTACGTCCTACCGAAAACACGCCATTCGATTATTTTCCTTGCAACAAAAGTGACTTAGACTTTTCCAAATTCGACAGGGAATTAGCGCACAACGACTCGTTTAGAGGCATGAATACACGAGTATTCCACATGACAAATTTTGTGAAACATTTTGAATTGTAAAAATTTCTGAGATACGTACGCCAAATGTTAAAGCGACTTTTTATCTAGGATTTGAATCAAGGGTTTCCTACCAATGAAACTCAAGCTATTGCATCTAATCCTGGACTGCGCCCACATTACGAGCTAAAAATGCCGGTAGACCTGCAGTTAATTAAGCAAATTAGGTTCCCGTGATTTTTCCCCGCCTTCCACTTTAAAACAAATTAAAAAGACCAACCACTAAGCAATATATGATGATTTTCATAACTTTTTATGATTTCATCATTTTACTTCGCGAGGCATAAGTGAGGAATTTTCAAATAGTTAGTAATTTTAATGGACGCAGTTAAAAGTGTTTTCCAGAAATTGCTTAGCGTACACGCTCCCTCCAGAGGTTTCCTCCTAATAGCCTCTGGTTTCGAACCCTTTGGATGGTAGGACTGATTTGTAGAGAATATAATCTAGCGTTAAAACGAGATTTTTATAAGGACATACAGACCCTGTGGGGAATCTAACACTTGTATCCCCTGCGCAGAGGCAGTGTGCCGACGGGTTTGCGAGGTTTATCAAACTCTGTGTAGGGTGTAGTAGGAAAAAGTGTTACAAGGTTTGCATCTCCTTTGGGAATCGGAGGCCGCATAATTGCATTCATATTCAAAACGATAAATCCACTCGGATATGTCTAACCAAACAATTATTATCCACTCAAGGGTTGGTTTAGCTTCCTTCAACAACTTTATTTTTCTGACCCGATGCAAGTTTCGCAATTAATGCTTGCTTTAAAATTTTTACCCATAAATAGTAAATCTCTTGATAATTCTCATTTATCGCGATAAAACGACATTTATTACCTCCACTGAGTTTTGCTTTGATTGCAACCTCATTCACCTCTGGCGCACTTTCAGCATAACTAAGAATTTGCATTTTGCTGAATGCTCAATAACCCAAACACCTGCTTTTCCCAAATGCCACCTAAAGAAGTCCCCAAGTCCCTCTATTGGTTAAACTTTCCCTCCTTGTAACACCATTTGGCGCATTTTGACCACTTAAACGAAGAAGGCTTGTGAAAATAAACTGAATTTCTTCATTTGTAACGAGTACCTTTATCCAGATGGGATCTTGTATAGTAGGATGACTGAAGAAAGTAGTCCGCGGAAGTCCCATTACAGCATATCTTTCAGTTTATCTGGATTAAAGACAAAGCATTAAACACGGTTACTATAGGTTGCTTCTGATTTAGTCAGTCGGTGTTTGATACATTCCTTATTGACAAAAGGGATCAAAACTTCGTAATTTTCTTTTGAACTTTAACTTTTGTTGCCCCTCATATACATATCTGTTTCTCCATAGGAAGCAATTCGCTCTAACTGACATGTCAATGGTACTAGATAATTGGCCATGATATGTACTTTTAATCCTAAATAATTGCTTGGACTTATATTGCCACCAAACCTTTTCACTTATTCCTCCATACACTTCTCATTTGCTATAACACTGTGTACAAAATGGTTGATTTTCATTATTTTTTGCAAAAAAATATGTGAAGAACTTTTGTCATCCGTTTAAATCTCTAACCAAAACCTGTTCCGTTAATCATATTCAGAAAACAAGACTACCGACGTACTAGATTGCACTGCCCTAAACTAATTTTATCCCATCCTCTTATTACTATAAAGATACATTTAGTGATCTCATTATACTCACATCTCATCCTTCATTTATTCTACCCTTGGTTTTTGATTAGTTTACTGCACTATTTACTTATTTTGTGGTCTATTTAAAAGGAGGTATGAGAATAAACAGTATAAGTAATTTGTTCTCTTGGATGTTAAAAAAAATTGACTTTGCCTTATGAATTGTCATGGTTAGTGGCTAATGCATGCACAGTTGTTAGGTGGAATGCCAATCCTCCCTCATAGAGGTATTCATCTAAAAGTTGCGTCATAAAGGCGAACATAAATCTCAAATGGCAAGTCCATCATTAATACCAACTGGGATTCATTAAAACCCGATTTGGTTCCATTAGCAGCTGTTGTATGGAACTCGAAATTATGCACTTACTGAGAACACGCTCCTTTTTAATTCATCCGAAATGCGTGTCCATACATCCAATCATCCAAAGGCGGTATCCTTGGATTTGTCAACCAATCAACAAATGCGGAGTTGTATGCTTAGTCCTGCCACCAGTGCAGTGCTTCAAGTCATTACTGAGTAATAATAAAGTTTTCTGTGTGTAGAAGAATTGTTTTTGAAGAGACTAAAGATCCAGTGTAGCTTAAACAGGCCAAAACGAGGGTAGAATCCCTCTATTCCATAAGAGACGATTGCACACAAGGGCCCAGTTAGTTCAATTTTACAACTTTTTATATCACTCGTTTAAAGAATAAGCTTACTGCTTACAGATAACAATGCTCTTAACTATTTACTTTTGAAAGCCCTATTGAATACCTCTTAAAATAAGGTTTCTGGGATAATAAGTCTTTTTTTAATAAGTAATCGTGACTATCCTTGCAGCTTCTCACCTCCTTCTCCTTCGTGTCTGTAAAGTAACGGATCGTGTCATGGTTAGTCATTTTGACGAATCACCTTTCTCACTGAACGTGGATGTTTGTATTGATAAAGATACTAGAAATGCAATAAAGCTACTTCATTCTCACACGAATTTTACCACAAATGTCAGTGTGGAAAGGCAGAAGATCACAGAATCAAACCTATCACGTCTACCATAGTGATTAGAGCAAATTTATAACCAATAACTTACAAATATTCATTTTTACTCATGTGAAGGCATTAGGCGATGATGTTAAAAGTTTTATTGAGAAGAAGTTAAATGAATAGTTTTATAGGACGCACTCTTGCAGGCCATGTTGAAAAGTCTATCACTTTGGCAGAAACCATGCAAAATAACTGCTGTGTTATACATGATTAAGTCTCGACTAAGTACATAATTAGTTATTTGTTTGAATCATTTTTAACAACATTCTTCTTTGGGTGAAATATTCGATGGATCGTAGCATTTATCTTCTTCCTTCTTTTTTCCATTCTTCGGGATATTTATTATACAACTTTACTACCTTCTATATTAATAAAGCAGCTTTTTTGGTAACGGTACTCAATGAAGTGTCACGATACAGATTTAGGCACATTTTTAACTAAACTGCAAGAGAGCTTTGCGTTTTGCAAAGACCCAGCTCCTAGCTGATTACATTCTCAAGTTGGACATGTATTCGCATCACCAAAAGAAGGTAACTGCTTCCCATTTGCAATGAAAAAATACTTCACCTTTTCAACACCCCGCTCAATCTCTTCCTCAAATCTTCTTAATTGTCTGCTACTAGGACTAGAGTGATTTGGACACATTTAGAACAATCCAATAAGACAAACGTTTGAACCGAAATTTTGCGCTTGCAAGGCAATATAACATTTATGAAATGAAAGCGGGAGATTCATGCATTGGTTTTGATGCCTGGTGTATTCTAGATTTCCAATCTTTTAGGATCAGATAGTCGTGGACCAATGGTTGAACGTACTTCTCCAGGCGTTCGAGGATTCTAGCCAGGTCTTGAGTAGCATGAGTCGCAAGGTTTACTGGATTTATGGGATTGACGAACCCAAGCTCTACGCACGAGCCTCACCCTCCTGTTCCAATTCAACCCAACTTCCTCCGCCCCCTCCACCACCACTAGGGGTGACTCAGCCTGACCTAGCGACAAAACGGAAGCAATTCCGACGCATGCAGTCCTTCCAAACTGCCCTCACCTCCCGTAACTGGTCCCCTCCACCCCCTGCACCACCACCACCACCACCACCTGCGCCGATATCAAGTGCGTCGTCAGCATCGCAGCCGCCGGCGGTTGCAGAGACGACGAGTGCGCGTCGTGTTATTCTCAAGAACCTGAACAAAATGGGCTTCTCTCGCAGTCAGGATATATCCAGCCCTCTCCTACCACCACGACCGCCTTCGCCACTGCTGGAGTGTACAAAATCATCGCCCGCTGCTGGTAATAGTGGTGGTGGTCATCACAAACAGGCTTAGAACGTTCTTATGCAAATGCTTTTATTCGTTCTTGTGGAAAATTATTTCTGTCTACTAATGATGTGACAACTATATGCTGTCTTTTCCAGGCTAACTGCTTTATTTCATGAACGGATCTCTGTGATGAGAGTAAATGAAATCAGGAAAGGCCACAATTGGTTTTCATTCCTGAGAGTTTATCAATCGTGTCTTCTTCATAAACTTAGCTGAGTCAAATAAGGCATAACAGAAAGATTTTTTTGCCAAGTGGGATCGGCTTCATTTATGCGATAAAAGGAGCAAACATTTTTCAGGAAGCATAAAATGCGTTTATCTTTCAACATTGTACACTGATACATTTATGTACCCGTCTCAGTGTTAAGCTAATACTTGCAAAGCTGTGAAGAAATTTTGGGAAATGCCAGCAAATATCTTAGGATAGCATACAAATACTGCCTTGGCACTCAGTTAGCCATACTTGTTTCCAAATGCAATAGTTAGTAAATACCTTAATCAGGAGTTCAAGATAGGTTGTTCCAAACACTGAATGAAAGTTTACAGAGAAGACTGTTAGGGACCGGCAACGAGTTGCCACATCCACCGTGGTCACTGACAGACGTAAGACGGCTTACAAAACGTTTGCATATTCAACTTCAAATAATTTTTTCACAGTTCTGTCAGTCAGCCGATTGTGGCTACATTTTATCCGACCCTGGACAGACTAGGGCCGAGTTATTTTATAGTTTGCGTCCAATGTTTGATATAGCTAATGTTTGGGGTGAATGTCTGTTATTTAGGTGAAAAATACCAAATGCCTGTCCTACACAATCCTTCCTACAACCACCTTTTTGTAAATAAGCAGTAATTTCTGTAGAAAGGGACGGAACGCGGAACACCTATGACAACAATAAATTATTAGACAACTGAGCAGTTAAGTAACTTTTGTTCGACAAACCGCTTAATACTTAAAAATCCCCACATCATACAATTTCAAATTTAAAAATTGAGTACTAATTACAAATTAGCTTCAAATTTACCAAGTTCCTACTTGCTAAGACTAGGAATTGCTGTGCTAGGTGTTGGGAGTTTTTGCAATTACTCATCACCAACATTTAAGACTTAAAATGGTATGCTATTATAAAATCAAGTTTAAACATTTGTCCATTTAAAAATATACCCACTTACTACTGGGGGTGCGTGGATTGCGATCTGGGTGAATAGCATTAAGATGTAGTCAGTCAGTCACAAGTGATTGATATAAGCCTCGAGTAAATGCATTGCAAAGTATGATTGTGTTTTTCTTGAACGGTTCCCCATTTTGAAAGGATGAACTTATTTGCAATGCGTCCGTGCTTCAATTCTAAGAAAATTGAGAATTCTTTATTGTCAGGCCTTACTATCTTGGAGATTTAGGGTGAGAAGTGATGACCAAATTTTTTGTTTTGCAAAATTGCACAATCTATTTTTCAAGTAACACTTCGGATTTAACGGTGATTCAGGAGTAAAAAACTTTTGTTACATTGTAAAAAAACTTGGCATATAGTTGGGAATTTTGTAAAATTTTAGTTATAGCCCAATTTTGTTCTAACAGTTAAGGAAAAATTGGAGTTGGGCAAAAATTGGCAGAAAATGCTAAAATAGGCATAATTTTGAGAGGAGTTAACAAATCGAAAACAGGTGCAAAATCACCAAAGTTTAGTGTGATAAAGAAATAAATCTGGATGATTTTCCATACATTTCCAATCCATAAATCAGTAGACTTAAACCCCATCCTTCACCATGGTCACACCCATATTTTGACGAATCGTTGGGTTTTAAATCTGTTTATGGGAGGTTAGTATAGATTTTAGCCAACATGAAATTCTAACTTAAATAAATGAAGTGAGTTCACGGGAGTTGAAAGTCAAGCAATCTTTAAATTTAGCCTCTTTTTTCCACACGGCATCCAGATGAGTTATAAAAATGACCACTTTTCTTCGTAACAAGTCGTACCAACTTTTAACATAAAAAGAAAAAACAAATTAAAAATCATGAGGTAAGTAAAGAGGAAGCGAAGGTACTTGACCTCTATCTATTCAAGGCCAAATTATCTAAGACGTTCGTAAAACCCTATTTCATGGTTAACTACCGCTTTATAAAATAAGGACTACTGTTTTCATAGCATAATTTTCCAATTAGCTACATTTTGCAGAAAAAGTGTAAAATTTCGTATTTTTTGCTCATGAAGAAGTTTAATTTAGTTTATTTTTGATCTAAGAAAAGAATTTACGAAATAATTTGATGAATCTTGTTAATTGCCAAGTTGACTTAACCTTCAAGGGAGAAAAATACATTCGAAAAAGTTCACTTGAAGTAGTAAAGACACTTTGATGCCTATTTTCACACACTCGGACCCAATGGGTCGGGTTAACGTTTACTTGCTTGACGGATTTAGGCTCAGTTTCTAAGTTTTACGAGCTTCTTACCAAATTTGCCACTCAGTAGTTTAGGTGGGCATATCATGCAGCAGCAGGAGTACTTCCCAGAACTGGTTCAAATCATTCATCTGATTTGGGGGGATTCTGCCTATCTTTAAAGAGAGGGGGGTGGGGGGCAAACGCTCTAAGTTCAGAGTGAGGGGAAGTTGTATGCTGTTACCAATTAGAATAAATGAAGGTTAACATGCCAAGCCTAGCTTTCAATCACGTTGGACGTGAGTTCTGAGCCATTTGGTTTGTACCCAAATAATGTTGGGAAAGACAGTAGTGGTGGGAGCTAGTAGGTCGATGGAACTCACACAACATACGCCAAGTAGTAAAAATGTGATTTTTTTAACAAACGTACTCCATCTCACGCATTTCCTTGATCATATTTCTCCTAGTACTGGTTTGCGCCTTTTCATGGCATCAGATAATTAAGTGCTTAACAGATTACATGGTTAAGAAATAAAAGTGAGGTACAAAAGAGCGTAATCAAGGATTCGTTTGGCTCCTAAGACAAAATATTATATCAAAGCAAAATTTAGAGGCCTGTGTATAATTAGCAAAGGATTATAGACCGTAGTGCTGGGTAATCAAATAAGTAAACTGCTACGGGAAGCTTTTTGCAGCCTCACAAGCCTAATTGGCTACCCTACACTTTGAGGAAATACACTTCCATCGTCTACAACAAACCCTTTTGGTTTTAAAACTAGTCATATACCCAGTAATCGTCACATATTTTTGTGAAGATGGCTGCTTCACAGCATTACAATAAGCAAATTATAAAGTGCTCTATTACCATTTATACCTTTACTTGTATCTATGCGCGTTTTAGCGGAAAAAATGCGGCAAGGAATTGGTGCACATCGGTGATAAATGCCCTAGAAACGATAATCGGCGAAAAAAACCCATTTGAACTACCCTAACTCCGGTTAGTTCTTTTGCAAGAATATATTCCTTGATTTTGAACGATGAAGCTGCAGTCGTTACTTTATATTTCCTTCTGTAAAAATCAGCCTCGTTCTTGTATTTCCAGATTGTGAGAAATGGTAGGGTATGAGGCACTATTGCTAATTTTATCCTACGCACCTTTTTTGAAAATTTAAAGAAAAAGATGGATACATGAATTTTTATTCCAAGTTTTCATTGAAATATTTCTTTTATGCAAAAAACAATTGTTCTAATAATATCACTAATGATGCAATATAATATAATGATTTTGAGTAGGACATTAGACAAATCTTATTTAAATTTACAAAGCTTGTTAATTTTTCTTAAATAAAAGTAAAAGTTAGTAAAGATTAAGCGACTCCTGCCCAATGAAGATTTATCATCCTATTTGATACGTCTATATAATCGCAAAATTTGCAAATGGCTATTGCTAAAAAGGAAAAAAAAACATAATGCCAAAAGTTCCTTAAAAAACTAAAACACAGACATAATGCCTAGGGGCAAAAGAACATTTGTTTTATTTGGCCATTTCACTGCAGGTGACTTTGGTGCCGTAGCTCGCAATATGCGACGCGCGTTTTTTATTATTTTATGACAATTATTTGAATAGTGTGGATGGGATTTAAGCAACAAAGTTGAAGTAATGTCTTCACGACCAAAAGACGCATTTTCTTTGAGGTCTTGGTGACAACATAGTTAACACTACCCCAGAATGAAGACGCTGCCTTTTTATCAAGGCAAGCTATTGTGATTCGATTTAATGGCTGTCAGTTTTGTGGTAAAAAATTGTCTTCTAGAGAACGTTACTACCACACAGTCTACTTTTACCACGGTCTGTTTGACCGTTTGAATTACTCTAAACTTTGATTTATGCATTACCCAATCGGGTAAAGTAGTATCAGCGCGAGAAAATGCACTCAAACAGGTAGCGATTTAATGTGATTCAGACATTCTTTGCACGGTTTGAATATATTTTCGGAAGTTTTCGACATTTGGGACCTATTTTGCGTAACCGACCAAGAAGAGACTTCTTTGGATTGAATTAAATGTTCAGTTTTTCTTCTCCAAATTTTCCTTTGTAAAAATTCTTAAACCAAATTAAGCTACCCACTGGTACTGAAAATTGATAAGAGAAATGATTAGTTTAGGCTTACAACCTGGGTCTATATCCGCTATTTAAAGCGTCTGTAGTTTGCATCAGCAGCACTAAAGTAGCCGTTTAATTCTACCATGATCAGTCCAAAGAAGAGAGGTCAAAAGCTCCTGCCAAATGTGCCCCTTGAGACTGCATACAAGTCGTAGGCGTGCGGTGACGACGCGAAAGCCACCCTCTATGCCTGTGGTAAAACAAGCATGCATGTAGTTTCGGATGATTAATGTAAATGCAGGTAACGTTAATGGCATGATTGTACTTCAATTGTCTGGCCATGCATGAGTCACTCGTAGTCTAGGGCGTCCCAAATGTCTGCAGCGGCTGGAGACACGTCTAGTCCCCTCATGGTTGTCCTGTTTCATCCGTGCGACTGATCCACATGCGTGAGAACGGTAGGCGTTGCTTTGTGGACTCCCAAAAAACACATTAACCTCTACGAATCACTTTTGAGAGTTATTACTGTAAATCGGATATATATTAAAGCTTTGAAATCCTTGCCGATTTCATAATACATAATTTCTTCCTTAGCATCATTCAGGCTCAATTTGGACGTATTAGAGAAACTAATAATAAAATTTTTACTTTTTTCATTCACTATCCAATTCATTTGGAATTACGTCATCTCATTGTTTGTTTCGTAAAAGTTGATTATTTTGGTTTGCCACTAATTTCACCCTCATTTACTCAATAAACGCACTCAACTTAAAACCGTTTCTAAAAAAAATGACTTCTCTTGACTGAACTGCTATTTTCGCGCCATCATTGCTGAGCCTGTGCTTTGGTTTGATGTGTTCTGGAGTACTTCTCTCCCACCTTGACATATTTGTCTCGATTTATCACTAAAACTAGTTTAGACTACAAAACTTAATTAAAACAAAATGCCCTTAATATCTCATACAAAGATCCTATACCTTGGTTATTTATTCCTTTGGTTCCACTTCAGCGTATATCATTTTTTTGACAACGAAACGTAACGTTTATTTACACGGAGTATTCTATCTTTACAGGCTCCAAGCACCACACTACTTGGATTCATAAGTCTCGAACGCTGCGAAACTTCAAGCAATTATTTTATTCCAGAGGCGACATTAGGTGGATTTTACCAGTTATTACTTCACATGAAAAATCGGATTTCTCTTCTTAAATTTTTTTAAGCAAATAATAACCTTGACAGAGAACCTGTCCTCTAAACTGTTGCCAAAACCCTGCGGATGATGTAATAAATTTTGAAGTTAACTTTTCCTCCGTATTTTTACTGATATATAACAACAGGGTCTCCATGCGGCAGATGTGTGATGACTTTGTTGGTTGTTTTTGCAGGTGTAACGACAGTAATCACAGTTGGGGCTAATTAAATCGGTCTTAATTTAAACAAACACTGCAGTGATACAAGCATAATAATAATTAAAAATGAACTTATAATCCATTTCTTGGTTGACTTACAAATGAGCTGCAGAGCAAGTTTGCTAAAGAACTGGACCTACAAATTAAAGGTGATCAAATAAGTTCGCACATTTTGATAATTAGCATTAAGCTTAAACAGAATTAAAAAATGGGCGTTTTTTGGCGTAGCCAATATTAGAGTCCAAAACATAGCCATTTCCTGCCGAAGCAGAAAATAACCACTAATTTTGCTTTTGTCCAAAGCTTCACCTTTAAACGTAAGCTATCCATCTCTAGCCAATTCCAATCCAACCTCACTTTGTTTCCTAACTATTCTTTCTAATTGTGGCCATGTACCTATCAAACGCCAAGAATGGGCATTCACCATTACTTGGGCAAATATAATTTGAATAATAAGCATGATGCAACGGTACCATTATTGCTACAGGTATACTTCGAGGTAGAACGCATTTTGAACTTTTACATAATCATGCCTGACTGAGAACAAAATGTGCTTTTTAATAGACTGAGTGAATCTGCCACTTCTGAAGAAGATAAATTTTTCATGCACGTCTCTTAGCTGCAATTATTAGTGTCTGGTAGATAAATGAATGGGTCCTGGAACACATTGTTACGTGTCCTTCAGCCAGTCCACCATGCACCACAAACACAGACTTACAAAACACCATCACGTGAAGCTGATGGGATATGTGCCTTATAAGTGCAAAATGTGTTTGGGTTGAATAGAGGAATAGTTAGGAATGGTTGTCAATGTTGTGTTTGTTCCGTTAGCTGACGCTGCAGTACAACATCCGTTTCCAATTACGTATCACTCAATCGGTGAGGCAGTCAGCTATCTGAAGTTTAGGAAGCCTTTTGTAGGGTGAAATACAGAAATAAAGAGGAAATCATATAAATAGGCCTTTCTCTAGCCAAATAATTTGAAGCCGTCAAGGCATTGAATGACTTACTCTTGAGTGAGTTCTACTGCTGCATCTTTATTAATTATTACGCACATTTTACGAGAAGCCTTAGCGCTTTTGGGACCAAATTTAAATCATTTCGTGGGGGAAGTTGTAGAAAACACATTCCAAAATGCAATACCAACAAACACACAAATAACTGCCTGCATTCAAGGAATCGCAAGGGTTACATGAAGATATTTTAACAAACCAAATGTAGAGCAGCATGAACTTCGTCTACGTAAACTCTTTCAACTATTTGCCTAAAGCACTTTTAAACATATTTGTCGTATTATAGCCAAAATAAATCCATCGACATCGAAAGTCAGGTACATATTTGGCGCCATGTTTATTTTTCCAAATAACACATGCAATCATTAGGGACTTTTTTGTGAAAAAAGGTAAAAAAAGGTCTGTCCCTCATAACAGCACAGTTACTTGCAAGACAAGCTTTTCGTTTAAAAGAGGTACTTAGTAAAGCGAGCTTGGAAGTGTCCAAACTACAAAAATATGATGGCTTTATGACCTCTCAAAGATTTCTTGTTTGTAAATTGCTCAAAAATGAACTTGTTAAGCTTGATTAAGTTATAATCGCAAAAAGTTTGTCTCGCACTCTTCTCAAGAGTTCTGAAATGCAGCTTTTACAAGGCCTTACGTGTCAAAGTTTCTAGTCTTAAATTATGCACCAATTTCGTCTCGGCGGTGTAGATATTTGCAGGCTTAGGTGTTGAAAAGAATGGCAGTCACTTTCAGTTCTAACAGTGTCTTTTTGATGACCACATTTAGAATTCAAATCAAGAATAGAAATGAGTCGAAAATAATTTCATATTTGTGCTCTTTGTACTCACGCACACACAATGCATGTGGAATGCTCTGCATATGCCAGAAGCAAGTCCATGATGATGGCGATTAGGGTACGGAGGCAGCCTTGTGAGATTTGAGAAAATATCGCTTTCATTTTCATATACCATTTGGTTACTTTCCACCACCTTTTCAAAGATGTAAATACAAAACTAAAGTACTTGCCCCTGCAATATGACCTTTTATAGTTCTCACAGCTTACTAAATTACCATGAATTATTTTGTATTCAAATATGATATTTAGCGCTCAGTCTAACCTTAGCGGTAGACATATAAATCTGCCTAACCATAAAAGTGGTATTTAAATGAAAATCAGAGGATGTTGTAGCCGAATCTTGTCAAAGGCCGCTAAGGGATCTCCATGCAAGACAAGTTATGCTTGAAATGCCTAATTATAAAGCATATAGGGTGACTTTGGTATGCATTGTGCGTTTGTACATTTACTATTGCAGTGTCAATGTGACGCTTAAAAGAATCCATCACAACAACTGAAATACCATAGACTTGTAGTCTAAAATACTGTTCGGTGAATTTCACCGGATGCTTATCGACAGCATGTGATTATTAATAATGACATATTTTTTATGAAAACTAATCCACGGAATCCGTATCTGCGTTTAATATATCATTCCTATATTTTATAAGAAGGGATTTTCATGTTGCCATTATTACTTCTTAAGGACTGACACATTCCGAGCAGCAGAACATCACTTTAATCTTCATAAATGTAGCGGATGCAGAGATATGTGACCACTAATAAAATAAATTTTTTACTAGGTTTTTACTTTTCCAATCATGTGAACCCATGCATATAAAATTTCGTAACATACATAAGCTACAAAACATCTGCTTTTAGGGATATTATTGGGAATTATCTATTTTCAAAAGAAAATGATAGTATTTCATTATGGAAGACTGCCTACTTTGATTTACGTCACCGAATAGGAAGTAACACCGGTCTAGGGTATCAAGTGTTCAAAAAGGCCGGCATTTTTATCAATACTGTTCACTGCATTGACTATACATGACTCTTAAAACGCATAAAATGCATGCCACTGTATCAGAGTAAAATCAAGGGCATCGGTCGGTACGGAAATCTGTATCATACGCTTTAGTACTTTTTACTTATTTTAAACCCATTATAAGTCCAAAAATTGATCGTTTAAACTAATTGGCATGGCAAAATAAAGAACGCTCCCAAAGCTCCAGAAGCCTCTTGTCAAACTTGACGTACAGTATTTAAGGAGAATGTAGCATACGGTAGTAGAAAGTATCACTTAGGACTGGTTCATATTATTTAACTAAATTTGGGGTTTCTGTGCCTCGTCAATGAGCGGAGGAAGGGGCATTTTAACTTCTACTTTAGAGTAAGGAGCAGTTGCCTGCTGCTACTAATTACAGTAAATGAAGGTTTACGCGCCAAACATAATTTGGTGGCATAGTGAATGTGAGTGCTAAGCTAGTTGGTTTGTACCGAAATAATGTTGGAAAAGAAAGTCCTGGTGGGAGCTAGTAAGTCAATGAAACTCACAAAACATACACTACGCAATGCAAATGTGTTCTTTCCTCACAATTAAATCCCGTGTTACAAAAGTGTACCGCGTAGCTTTGATTTATAGCTGACTGGCTAAATGACCATTTAGTAATAGGATGCAGCTTTTAAATTGCAGCGCTATTTAAGGCAGCGAAGCATTCTTTAGTGGCTATTCGCGAGCGCTTTCCCACTCAATTCAATCACCCCCTACTATATTTCTAAGTTATACATCACGTCATCTCAACAAGACCATGCCATGTGGGCTTATATGTGTGCAATTTACTGCAAAAGGAATTTTTTGCATACTGATGAATAAACAGCAACTATAATTCCTCTCCCGATACTTCATCCAATTACAAATCGATCTAGCTAAGCGCTTGGAAGACAATCTTCGTGTTCTTGATATATCATTCAAAAACAGTCAATTTGTCAACAAAAAGAATGTTTTATATATCGTCTTACCATGCAATATAGGAACCCACTGAGCAAACTGCCTCAAAACTTACCAATGTGATCTGCAATTTGGTTAGAACGGGAACAGGATTGGTTATGGATAAGTAAAAGGGGAAGAAAGGGAATAGCAAGAGGGAAAAGTATAAAAGGTATGGCACTCACTGCCTTCTCCCTAGTATTTGCGCCCCTAGAAGGAATAGATAGGTTGAACGAGGACATGCTTGATCGGGTGGCGATTATTTAATGGGCACGGATATCGCAGGTTAAGTTTGAGAGTGGGTATCCTCTTCGGGAGCCGGTCGCGTCCGATCCAACAAAAAAATTGCACCTTCTGACTGTTACTCACGTAAAAGGTACGTTTGAGCAAACATGTATTCCAATGGAAATGTATAGATGGATGGCTGAACGGCTTACTGGCTGACTGACTAAAGAGAATGAAAAAAAGAAATGCAGTCTTACCCTATCCTTAACCCCATCGCACTTTTCGTATTTTCGTGATGATTATCTTTTTTTTCC